ACTCACCCATCATACATACATCAGTCCACTCACCCATCATACACACATCAGTCCACTCACCCATCATACACACATCAGTCCACTCACCCATCATACATACATCCACCAATCCACTCATCCATCTGTCTGCCCACCCACGCATCCATCTAATCATCTGCCAATCTATATCTATGCAACAATTAATTAGTGAGTTCCTACTAGGTGTCTGACCCTATGCCATGTGCTTGGACTATAGTCCAAGGCTAGATAGGGGAGGCCAGCATTTCCGAGCCTCTACCTGCACCTTCACGGGCCCTATGCCTTATCTTCCCCGGCCCTCAGAAGGTGAGCAGAGGCCTCCAGGCAACATTGACCCATTTCTCATGGCATCCCCAGTCGAGAAGGCCTGAGGAGGAAACAGAAGAGAGAGCAGGACAGGAGGACCCCTGAGAGGTACAGCAACCCAGCCAGCTCCTCAGCAGACATCTTCTCTGTGATCTTAGAGCTGCCATCTATGTAACATCAAAAGGTTCTGTTTACATGTCAAAATTACCATAAATAGAATAAGATACAACAGTAAACCAAAGGAAAGGAAGCATTTCCACAGTTAGGAGCACCGAAAATTAACAGCCTTCATATACACACAACCACTCACAATACCCAACCAGATAGGAGCACGAGAATTAACAGCCTTCATGTACACACAGCCACTCACAATAACTCAACCAGATAGGAGCACGAGAATTAACAGCCTTCATATACACACAGCCACTCACAATAACTCAACCAGAAAAGCACCAGGACAAAGGCTACCCACTCATCCACTCAGAAAATACAACAAGTCCCTTCCCCATGGCATTTCCTTCTAGGGCAGGGGGCCAGGGTGTCAGAACTTAAGCACATTGAACAGATAAGCAAGCAAGGGAACATCTCCTGGGATTGCCTGTGGTGAGTGCTTAGGAGAGAGGAGGTGGCTGGTGAGATAGAGACTGGGCAGGAGAGAGGAGGTGGCCAGCAGTGTACAGACAGGGCAGGAGAGAGGAGGTGGCCGGCAGGGTACAGACGGGGCAGGAACTGGTGAGGGGAGGCCCAGCAACTCTGGAGAGCAGGGAAGGCCTAGACACAGAGTGACTACCACCACCTTCTTGTTTTATTTTTTTTCCACTTTTCCATGGCGGGCTTGTGCTGCTGATATAACTGGGTTAGGAGAAGGGAGGTCACAGGGTGGTCATGAAGTCCAAGTGACTGGGAAGGCTGTGGTCAGCGATAGTCAGCCACACCTGACCATGGGGCCTCCTGCCCCATCCTTAGCCGCTGTCCTGGCAGCCGCAGAGGCCTCTGGGCAGTGTCCTCACGGCATGTGTTTGCCCTGCCCCACCATGCCTCTTCCTGTTCCCAGAATCCTATAGGGTTTGGGGAGGGAAGACTGGGGGCTTTCAGGTAGTGGGGCTGCTCTAGTCTAGGTTTCTTTTAAGTATTTTTGAGACAGACCAGAATGCAAATAGGGACACTAATGGCTCAGTGGTAGAGTTCTTACCTTCCATGAGGTGACCCTGGTTCGATTCCCAGCCAGTGCCTCTCATGGGCAGTAACCACCCATCTGTCCATGGAGGCTTGGGCATTGCTGTGATACTAAGCAGATTTTGGTGGAGCTGATGACCCTCAGGGTCTGCAGCTTGAGCAGGGGCTTCAGCCTTCTAAGTCTGGCAGCCAGGGAAGCCCCCTCTCATCGTATCTGGGACCAAGGGCAGAGGGACAGAGCACAAGGATAGGGTGTCCGAGTTCCCGTGTTGTGCCATCCTCTCAGTAGGGTGGCGGTCTCCAGTCCTCCATATCCTCAGCCGCTAAGGTACACATGGAAAGAAGGGTCCTGCCTGAAAGGCAGCATAGAGGCGGCCGGCTGAGCCCCTTTGGAGGCCTGGTCCCTGCCATCCAGACCCTAAGGGGAGAACTAACCCAAAGTGTAGTGGAAAGAGCAGTCTGGGAGCTGGACTGCTTCCAGTTCCTTCCTCTGGCTAGCTGGAGATCTTGGACAAGTCACCGAAGCTTGAAGGGTTGGAAGAGTGAAAGTGTTGGGCTAGATTGGGGCTTTTCAAGGTGGTCCTCGGAGGTAGCAGGCAGGATGAGGGTGAAACTGTGCTCTGGCTGCCTATTCCATTGTCCATGTAAACAATAAGCCTGAAAACCCACACTCCAAGCACACTGGGGCTCTTAGGCACTGTCAGTTGGTTCCACGGGCTGTCATCTGGCAAAGAATCCACTTTCTGTTCAGCAGGTATATTAGGTGTAACAGATGGGGGACTTCCTCTGGGAAGTAGGGAGGGCCTGAACTCTAGGTCATTTTAGCCTCCCTCCCCAATCCTCACCATTGTGAGCAGACACCCATCCATCATGGAAGCACTAACCCACTGCTGTAGAATGGATTCCGACTCTCAGCAACCCCATAGGGCAGCGTAGAACCACTCCATAGGGTTTCCAACACTGTAAATCTTTATGGACACAAACAGACGCATATGTTCTTTCATAGAGTAACTGGTGAGTTTGTGCTGCTGACCTGCAGTTAGCATTCCAGTACTTCATCCACTGCACCACTAGGGCACAGAATCTTGCCGCAGACAACTCAAAATTCCAGAGCTCCCCCAGAAGGGTCCTCCTGGCCTCCTTGCCCATGCACCCCTCTCCCAGGCCGTCTGACAGTGTACCAGGGACAGTGGTGGTGTGCCTTGGAGTCATGGTGTTAGCGAAACTTGTACAGGGTTTCTGAGGTTGTACATCTTTACGGGAGCAGAAAGCCTCATCTTTCGCCCACAGAACGGCTGGTATTTTCAAACTGCTGACCTTGAGGTTAGCAACCCGACTCATAACCTCTATACTACCAGGGGCAGTGGCTTTTTTCAATGCATAATAAATACCCTCTCACCAAAGAAAACAGGCTTCAAAAGTCACAGTAGGATCACCTGCCACCTAGTGGTCTTGGCCAGTATTGTTTTTGTTGTTGTAGTGCCATGGAGTCAGTTTCAACCCACAGCGACCTTGTACCGGGTTTCCGAGGCTATAAATCTTTACGGGAGCAGAATGCCTCATCTTTCTCCCACGGAACGGCTGGTAGTTTCAAACTGCTGACCTTAAGGTTTGCATCCTGATTTGTAATCAGTTGCATAACCCTAAATCAAAGGAAAACCAGCTGAAAGTGTCCCACATTGTAAAAGCAGACCTTTCTGGAAAGGCAAGGTTTGAGCAAGCCTCAGAGATGGGCAGGATCTGGAGTTCCCGCTCTTCATCCTAGAGACTAAGACAGCACCGGAACATCTCCCGTAAGTCCCCTCAAGGACTGACACGTTACTAAGCACTTACATGTCTCATTTATTTGTCACAACAACCTTATGAGGTTTGTAGATGCAGAAATGAAGACATAAAGAAGACAGTAATGCTCGCGAGATCACAGAGCAAAGCTGGGACCTCGGCCCTGCTTTACAACCCCGAATCAGAAAGTTCTCGGTCATCATACTGTCCTGAGCACACCGCTATCGGAGACAGAATCGAGGGGTGCCAAGGGCTCTAGGCAGTGAGGGCTGGAAGTATCAGCAAGGCTTCCCGGCAGACATGGGCTCTGAGCCCAACTATACAAGGAGACATGTGAATTCTTATCCCTGAGGAGGGTCACCAAGCCGAGTTCTGTGTTGGCCCTGACATGCTTATTTTACAGTGTCTGCCTCTGTCCTACCAAATAAACAGCCAAATCCATTGCTGTCAACTCGATCCCAACTCACAGCGACCCCTATAGGGCAGAGTGGAACTGCACTGTAGAGCTTCCAAAGCTAAAAGTCTTTATGGAAGCTGACTGCCGGAGCTTTCTCCTGAGAAGCGGCTGGTGGGTTTGGCCTTTCGGTTAGCAGCCCAGTGCTTAACCCACTGTGCCATTAAGGCATTCCTCTCTATCCGAAAGCCCAAAACCAAACTGCCACCATTGAGGCCATTCTAATGCATAGCAGCCCCAAGTGACAGAGGAGACTAGAACTGTCCCACTGGGATTTCTAGGCTGTCATCTTTATAGGAGCACGTGGCCTGGGTTCCATCTGCCCACCTCTGCTTAGCAGCTGAGAACTTAACAGTTATGTCACATGAGCGCCTTTTTAACAAAGTTGTGTAGTACCACCAAGTCAGCTCCAACTCATCGAGACCCCGTGTAGGGTTTCCTAAGCTCTTAAATCTGTGGAAGCAGAGAAGCTGTTTCACCTGTGGAGTAGCTGGTGGGCTCGAACTGCAGACCTTGTAGTTCACAGTCCAGTGCTTATTGTATGAAGCCACTGCACTCTCTTAACAAGGTTAATGCTTCTAAAACAAAAAATTCTTTTTTTTTTTTTTTTGCCAATTCAAGTGTGATTTTTTTCCCATCACCATTAACCCTTTTTCCCCTCCCTCTTGCCTCTGGTAACCACTGTAAACTTTGATGTCAATATATTTTCCTTTTTTTGTCTTTTTATGTAAGTGACATCATATAGTATGTGTCCTTTTGTGATTGGCTTATTTCACTGACTGTACTGCCTTCAAGCTCCATCCATACTGTACCATGTATCAAGACTTCATGTCTCCTACTGGCTGAGTTGTATTCCATTGTATGTATGTTTGTTCCTCATTTTGTTTATCCATTCATCTCCTTTGATGGGCGTGTAGGTTATTTCCACCTCTTGGCTATTTTGAATGATACTGTGATGAACATTGGCATACAAGTTTCTTTATGGCCTCAGCTTTCATGTCTTCTGGGTGTATTCCTAAGAGTAGAATTGCTGGGTCACATGGCAGTTTCGGACAACTAGTGTAGTGCTGTAGGATCAGCACTGGACTGTGAACCACAAGGTGGGCAGTCCAAACTCACCAGCTGCTCCTAGGAAACCTTACACAGTGTTGCTATGAGTCAGAGTCGATTCAATGACACTTAACAATGTGGCGGTTCCTATTTTTAGTTTTCTGGGGACCCTCCACACAGTTTTCCATTTTGAATTCTCACCAGAGATGGATGAGTACTCGTTCCTTCACATCTTCACCAACATTTATTATTTTCTGTTACTTTTATCTTAGCCATCCTGTTGTTGTTGTTGTTAGTGCCATTGAGTCAGTTCCAACTCAGAAACAGCCTGCATAGGGTTTCCAAGGTGCAGCTAGTGGGTTTGAACCATCAACCTTGAGGTTGGTAATCCAGTGATTATTCTACAGCACTACACCAGCACTCCTTAGCCATCCTAGTTGATGGTGGTGGTGTTCAGTGCCGTCGAGTAGCTTCCAACTCATAGTGACCCTGTATAGGGTTTCTGAGGAGCGGCTGATGAGTTTGAACCCTCTGATTGTGGTTTTCATTTGCAGCTCTCTGACTATTAATGATGATGATTAATGATGATGAGTATCTTTACATATGTGGCCATCTGAATGTCCTCTTTGGTGAAATGTCTATTCAAGTCCTTTGCCCATTTTACAACTGGGTTGTTTGTCTTTTTGTTGTTAGGTTGTTGGCAAAGGCAACTCAAAAAGTCTTTCTGCTAGGGTTCTAGTTAGTACAAGCATAGCTTTTTCTCAAACAAAATGTGTTTCAGCATGTCTCTGTGATCCGTGGGTGGCTGCAGACAAGTTCTCTCAGGAACACACTTGTCTTGGTCGTTTGCCTTCAGTGACAGTGTAGCATAAAACTTGACCATTAGGTTGGTTTGAACCACAAGGTTAGAGGCTCAAACTCACCAGCCGTCCCTTGGGAACCCTATGCGTCAGAACCGACTCCATGGCACTTAACAATAAGGTGGATGGAGTAAATTTTCCCAACAAAATGCTCGTAGGACAACCCTCGCTGACCTTGAACAGGTATATCGTAATAATGGGTGGGGGGGTGGATTCCTTGACTCAACTTTCCTGGCCCTTTTCTCACCAATGCAATTTTCAGTTTTCATAAACTTCCTAAGACCCCATGATCATACTAGGTTCTTTGAGAACATCTTTTAAAATAACCTCTTTAGTGTCCCCAAAATCAGTCACCACATAACCTTCTGAGTTGACCTCTATGCCTTGAATTTAACTAGCCAGCAGATGTCCTCAGAAGCCACAGTTTGTATTGGCCTCTCCCAGTGTGGCTCTGGAGGATAAACAGTAAACTGCTAACCACAAGGTTGGCAGTTCAAGCCCACGAACTGCAGCATGGAAGATATACAGTCTCAGAAACCGTAAGCAGTTGTACTCTGTTCTTTAAAGTCACTATGATTTGGAACCAACCTGATTACAGTGACTTGCCTTTGATTAAGTACAAGTGTATTTCTGAGAGAACTTGTCTGCAGTCATCCACTGATCCCAAAGACATGTTAAAACACATTTTGTTTAGAATAAATCTGTGCATTTATGAACTGGAACCTTGGGAGCAACACTTTTTGACCTACAAGCCTGCGGTGAGAAGTCTCCTGCCCAACCCTATTTCCCACCCACTTCCTGGCCCAGCCTGAAGGCCCTTCCAGAGAATGTCTGTGTGCAAAGTTACATCACTTCAAAATGAAGAGTTCCATCCGAATAGGGAATTAATAGAAAGTTGCGACTGTTCAGGAAGTTCATGAGGTGTGGAGTAGGCAGGGGGTAGAAGTTCAAGGGGGAGGAGCTGCACTTGGAGGTGGTAGGCGGGACCTAGGTGGGTGGGAACTGTTGCAGTGGGCGGAGCAAAGGTTGGGTAGCGATTGTAAGCAGTGGATAGGGCAGCAAAGGGTGGGGCCCAAGTGGAGGGAACCTGGAGGTGGTGAAGGGGCCAGTAGTGGCTCTGGCATGAGGGAGAAATGCCAAGTGGGAGATGCCAGCTTGCACCACGGTCCCCCTCTGGGCTTGGGACGAGGTGGTGCCGGCTCAGTCTCCACACCCTTGTCCCTGCAGGTTCCTACTATTTGACGACCACATACGGGGCCTTGGAGCACATCAAAAACTACGACAAGATCACAGTGACTCGGCAGCTGAGCGTGGAGGTGCAGGACTCCATTCACCGCTGGGAGCGCCGGCGCACGCTCAACAAGGCGCGCGCCTCCCGCTCCTCCGTGCAGGTGACGCAGGGGACGGAGGGAGGACCAGACGCTGTCCCCAAAACTGCCTGTCCGTGACTCCGGAGCTATTACACTTGGTCCACTGACCCTGCCCTCGGAGCAGGGATTTTTACCCCTTTACTTCCACCCCCGGGAGGAAGGGACGCGCGCGCACACACACACACAGTGCCTGCAGTCCAGTGTCTGTTTCCCGGAGCTTTGGGGGCTGGGAAGGTACAGTAGGCATGCACTCTAGTTGGACAGACGACATGGATGTAGGAGGAATATGGAGACAAGTCATCCCAGTCCATCCTCCCCAATCTCTCTGTACCAGTTGTCATGAACTCTCTCAGGCAACTCATGGTGACTCTGGGCATCAGAGTAGAACTGCTCCATAGGCTTTCAGTGGTTTCTTTTTCAGACGCAGATCACCAGGACTTTCTTCTGAGGAACATCTGGGTGGGATCAAAACTCCAACCTTTCCATTAGCACTCCAGCATGTTGGGTTAATTCTTTGCACCAACCAGGAACACCCATCTCTCTATACATTCTTGGTATTCAAGCCATTCTTGGCCAGCCTCCCACCTTCTCCTCCATTCCCATCATCTCATACACCCCCAGGTGCCTTAAACATGCTGACCTCAGCGCCCCTAGCCTCGGCTCTGGCAGTTCGCTGCTGCCCATCCTTCCCAACAACTCAGTTCCTCCACAGCCCCTCCTTGGGAAAGCCTTCCCTGACCCCCGTGGGTTGCGTTCTACGTGCTTCTCTGGGCTCCATGCTGCTACGTGTCCCACCATACAGGCGTCACACTACATTGTAAAGTCAGGGAGGGCAGGCCCATGTCTCTCGTGTCATGACCCAGGGCAGGGAGCACACCTGGAGTAGCCAGTTGTGTGTTCCACTCCTGGCTTCCAACATAGCCCTTCTGTAATGGGCAGAGCCCAGGCCTACTGGAGCAAAGAGACCCCTGTCTGTATTAGCTTGCTGTGTGACCCTGAACAAGTGCTCTGCCCTCTCTAGGCCTTGTCCTAATCAGCACAGTGAGAACCAAATGATCTCCGCCTCTGAGGTGCAGGTTCTAAGCTACGAAGCTGATCCACATCCCCCACCAATGAATGGCATCTTGATCAATGTGTAGTAGCTGACTTGAGAGAGAGACGAAAAAGTCGGGGTTGATTTCCATGATATAAATAACTCCCATCATCGTTGTTGTTGTAAGGTGCTATCGAGTCAGTACCGACTCATAGTGAGATGGATCTGTTGATTCTTTTGGCAGCCCATGGCACTTTCAATATTCTCCTCCAACACCGTAACTTAAAAGCATCAATTCTTCTATGATCTTCCTTATTCACTGTCCAGCTTTCGCATGCATATGAGGTTATTGAAAATACCATGGCTTGGGTCAGGCACACCTTAGTCCTCAAGCTGACATCTTTGCTCTTCAACACTTTAAAATAGTCTTGTGCAGCAGATTTGCCTAATGCAATACGTTGTCTGATCTCTTGACTACTGCTTCCATGAGTGTTGATAGTTGATCCAAGAAGAATGAAGTCCTTGACAACTTCAATCTTTTCTCCATTGATAAGAATGTTGTTTATTGGTCCAGTGGTGAGGATTTTTGTTTTCTTGACATTGAGATGTAATCCATAGTGAAGGCTGTGCTCTTTGATCTTCATCAGTAAATGTTTTTAAGTCTCCTTCACTTTCTGCAAGCAAGGTTGTATTGCTCAAGTGCAAACCATTTCTGCCACCAGGAACCTGAAAGGGCCCTTAACCCATTGTTACTGATGATTCGTAGCAGTCCTAGATGGTGGACTAGATCACTAGGACTTTACTCCAGTGGGGCAGCAGCTGGGTTCGAACCTCTGACCTTTCAGTTAGCAGGTGAGCACTTACCCGCTTCACCACTAGGGCTTGTTGTTGTTGTTGTTGTTAAGTGCCATCAAGTAGATTCCAACTCTTAGTGACCCTGTATAGTGTTCCCTAGGAGACGCTGGTGACTTTGCTGACTTTGTGATTCAAACCAACCTTGCAGTCCAGTGCTTATCCTACAGTGCCATGCCAGAGCTCCATGGGCTCCTTAAAGAACTCCTTTTAAAATATATTTTTAATTGATATTGTTGTTGTGAAGTGCCGTCGAGTCAGTTCCAACCCATAGCGACCCTGTATAGGGTTTCTGAGGAGCAGCTGGTGAGCTTGAACTGCCAACCTTGAAGTTCAAACAGCTTTGCAGTCTGGCGCATTAACCCACAGTGCCACACTAGAACTCCTTAATTGATATATATGTATACATATCCATTGTTCTGGATTTCAGAGTAGAACTGCCCCATAGGGTTTCCTGTTGGCACTGTGGGCTAAGTATTGGGCTGCTAACCACAAAATCTGCAGTTTAAACCCACCAGCCACTCTGGGAAAGGTTTACAGTTCTAAGGAGTCTGAAGGAGCAGTTCTCCTCTGTCCTCCGGGGTCACTAGGATGTAGGGTACTACGAGTCAGGAGTGGATAGCATCAGGCTTAGTGGGTAATCCCTATGTAGCATGGTGAATTTGAACCACCGACCTTTCCGTTAGCAGCCACTCTACCACCAGGACTCCTTAAAGAGCCCTCAGGAAGTCTATAAGGGGCTCAGGAAAGCACCAAAGTAGCTAAATCCTCTGCCATCGAGTTGATTCCAAATCCTAGCCGCCCTGGATGGAGTTTCTTAGTCTATAAATCTTTACAAGAGCAAACAGCCTTATCTTTCCCTCAAGAATCAGCTGGTGGGTTTGAACTACCGATCTTTTGGCCCAGTGCTTATCCAACAGTGCCATCAGGGTTCCTACGGAAAGCACAGGCAGCCATTAAGACCCACAGAGGGAGTGGGTCTACTCAGATACTCACCAGCTGTGAACCTTGCTATTCTCACTCCTTCCACAAGGGGGCAGCCCTGCACACCGTTTCCTACCTGCCCAAGGGTGGTTGGGGAAAGGGAAAGGCTGTGTTCCAGACTGTTCTTATATGCATTTTCACAACCCCGACATAGGACTGATGTTACTCCAGTTTACAATTGAGGAAATGGAGGCTCAGAGAGATCAAGTAAGTGACAGCAGATTCAAAGCCAGGCATATCAAGGAACATCCTCCCTCCCAGAGCTACAGGAGGAAGGGACCAGTGTGTACTGTGCTCCAGCCCCCGGACCTCCCCTCACCCAGGCCCTCCTTGCTTGTGTGGGGCCCCACTCCACTGTCCTAAAGCCCCCATCTTTCCTGCTGGGCTCCTGTCCCTCAACCTACCACAAAGCCTTCCCTTCTGACTACCCCACTTTCCTGCTCCTCCTCTGGCCCCAAAGTGGCTGAAGTGTCCCGCCTGCTTTGCAGCCCCCACTGAAGGTGGGGTGCTCTGGGGTAGGGTCTGCACCTCCTATTTTATTCACTCGGCATTGCACCTGGAGCCCAGGGGGTTCAGTGAGGAAGAGAGAAGGACCGGAATGGATGACTAGACTGACCAGCAGGGGAGCCTGTCTTCAGAGCAAAGACTCAGAGACAATCCTGAATCCCCCACAATGCTCAGCCCCATTGAGAGCTCAGAGAGGGGGGTGGTCACACCGCAGGTGTAGGCACAGAGAGAGGAAGAGGACACAAGTGTCCCGACTCTGGTACAGGCTCTGCTCCCTGGTCCAAGCTTCCACAGGGGTGGGGTGAGATGGGATGTCCGCTTGACCCCAGGGCTGACCGCAGTCCCTCCATCTGTCCTGCAGGACTTCATCTGTGTGTCATACCTGGAACCTGAGAATCAGTCACGAACACTGGCATCGCGGGCAGACACGCTGGCCCATGCACTGTGCGAACAGTGCGCTGAGAAGTTCGAGGTGGCGCAGCCCAAGGACCACCGGCTCTTCGTGCTGGTGGATGGGCGCTGCTTCCAGCTGGCGGACGATGCGCTGCCCCACTACATCAAGGGCTACCTGCTACGAAGTGAACCCAAGCTCGATTTCCACTTTGTGTACCGGCCCCTGGACAGCGGTGGGGGCCCACCCTACCTTATTGTGCGAGAACCCAACTTCCTGTGAAAGCCCCTTCCAGTGGCAGTAGTTACAAAGACTGACCATGGGTAGAGGAATGCCCAAGCTGGGCTTGCCCTCGCTCACCCCCAAGTCACCCACAGCTATGCTCACTCACACATTCATAAGTCCCAACCTCTGATCACTCTTTCACACCAGTGCAAAGTTGGGCACACAGACACATACTCCCAGCAGGGCAGACCACATGTTACACAAACACACATGTTACACAAGCACACGTTACACAAACACACATGTTACACAAACACACAGCCCACTGAGTGTGCCTAGCCCGACCTCCCAGGATGGTTGTGAAAATTAAATGAAACAGCAGCCAAAGGTGCTTCCTGAGGGAGAATCATAGCCCTGGGAGACCCAGGCCAATTTCTCCACTAGCCAAAAAGAGAAACTGAGACCCAGAGAAGAAAGGGAGTTTCCAACCAGTGCAACCAACAGCCCACACTGCCCCCTGCTCACACATGGTCCCTCTGCCACCTCCATGCCCAGCCTGATCTTCAGTCTTCTCAGGACTGGCCACAGCTGTGCCTTCCATGCTGGAGCTGGAGCGTGTACAGTTATCAGGGAGTGTGTTGGAGAGACAGCCCCCTCCCTGCATGGAGCCTGCCTTCTGCTACCAGCGCCCAGTTCTCTCATAGTCCTGAGCCCCCAAGAGCAGCCAGCACACACCAGGGGTCCCAAGCAAGGTCAGCTCCCCAGAGGCATGGGCTGCAGGAGAGCCCTGAGACAGTCTGTCCCCTGCAAACAAGCCAGGAGGCACCATGGGATTGTTTAATAAAAGCCCTTTTGGAAATGACATCTCCGTTCTTGAGTGGGCTGCAGCTCATTCCTAGGTGGGGTTCAGAAAGGCCCTCCTGCCCCGCCAAGCTGGTCCTCTGAAAGCCTGCACTGGTTTGGGGGCCCCAGTCAGTTCTTGGGGGCACTGACTCCATTTGCCTTGTAACCCAGTTATCTTCTGTATCCCACCATCCTGGATTCTGTCATTTTCATCCCAGAAGGACCTCTCACCTGAGCACCAGAGCTACTCAGAGTGCTGGCCATCTGCAAGGCCCTGTCCCCGGGAGATGGGACAGTGCAAATGTATCTTGCATTCATCTTAATCCTTCCCAGGGCCCCTGATAGTGGTGTTTATGGATGGAGACATCAAGGCAAAAAGGTGTCCTGGCTTACCCAATGTCCCACAGCTGGTAGGAGGTCAAGCAGAGTTTGAACCTGGGATGGGCTGGCCTTGGGGCTCTCTTAACCTGTCTCAGATGGAGGGTCCCGGTCCTGGTGGACCTAGGGGCCCAGAGTAAAAACCAGAGCAAAGAGTTGGAGTCAGAGTCATGTGTGTGTCCAAGGGGGTCAGGACACACATATGAACAAATGGTGTTTGTCCCCTCCTTCCCTGTCCCAGGTTGGGGCTGAAGAGCTAGGCTGGGAGAAACCGTCCAGGGTTTCCACAGAGAGCTGGGGCAGCCCTGGTCCTCTCAGCCCCACGGTCACCCCCAGCAGGTGAGTATAAGATACTGTCCATCCCCACGAGTACCAAACCAGCCCTTAGTGTGGTCTCTGAGTGGGCCCACATTAGGAGCAAGTTTCTGCTAAAGGAACAGAACCAGTCTGCTGGTGCCACGTGCAGAGAAAAGAGGGGGGTCCTTGGAGGGAAGAGGGTCGAGAGATGAGGGGGCTCTGCGTGCAGCGTGGACACCCACCCATCCCCAACACACATGCACAGACTAGTCTATTGGTCCCCAGCTGCCCTGAGTCCACATCTAGAACATTGGTAGGTGCGGTTGCTAGCTGGACTTTAGCACTGGCTGCCTCCTGTGCGTCAGAGTCACGGGGGTTGGGGACAGAGGGCAGGCACAGCTATAGCAGGAACAAACCCTCCCTCTTCCCAGGACTTCGAGGAAAGTGCTGAGTCACAGCGGTAGCTTTCCTTCTGGGAAGGCGCTCTGGAAATGGAGGTCACAGCCCACGCAAGCCCTAAGCCAGGAGGGAACTCAGAAAGCCAGCCAGCTCCAGCCAGGATGAGCTGGTTCTCAGCAAGCCACTGCCTCTCGCTTCCTCAGTTTCCCTGATTGTCCAGGCTTGCTGCAGGTTCCTGGGGTGGGGGTGGGGACACCAGAAAGGGAAATAAATTCAGGCCTATGGCATTGCTCATGGAGGTAGTTCCAGAATCCCACGGAGCATTCTGACCCCGTTTGTCAAACTCTGCACCCTGGCGTGAGACTGTGTTCACCCAGAAACACTGTATGGCCCAGACTGGATCCAGGAAAACTCAAATTGAGGGGTAACTGAACCAGGGGGGTGTTTTTAGTGGCCAGGGGGTGGGGCAGAGTGGGACCTGGGGTTGTGGGGAGCCAGATGCCCTGCTTGGGGACAGGCTTGGAGGATGGAACAGAAGGGGTTGGAGGACCCCTGAAGGATTGTGGGAGACAACGCACCATGACTTTCTAGAGAAGCTACAAGATTGAGAAGACTAAAGCACAGCTGCTGGTCTCTCCCTGTCCAGAGCAAAGAAGAGTGAGGAAATTAAAGACTTATGGAAACAACTCATCCCCAGGATTAATGGGCTGTGTGCACCCCAGGCTCTACTACCCTGAGGCCAGAAGAACTAGACATGCCCAGCTACCATCACTGACCACTCTGAAAGGGGTCACAATAGGAGGTCCTGGAGAGAGTGGTTGAAAAATATGAAACAAAACTCAAAATCATAAAAAAAAGACCAAACTTCAGAACCCCCAGACTATGGTCTTAAGTCACCCTTCCAGCCTAGAACTGAATTCACCCCGAGCCTCAGTGAGGAAGAGAGCAGGAGGACCAGAGTAAACGAATGGATGACAAGATAGGAAAGAAACACAAATGGAAATGGAAAACAGGAAGGAAGGGGGAAGAAGGCTGTGTATGAATTGTTGAATGAAAACCAATTTGCTCTGTAAACTTTCACCGGAATCACAATAAAAACCTAAAAGAATAGAAAGACTTGAAAAAAGGCATGGACAACTTTTGATCCATATAGTATATGGAGTCCTGGTGTGGCACTGTAGGGTAAGCACTGGACTGCTAACCACAAGGTCAATGGTTCAAACCTACCAGTTGCTCCTTGGAAAGCCTATACAGGGTCCCTATGAGTCAGAACTGACTCCACAGCACTTATCAATAACAACATGGAGTCCTGGTATGGCGCTATACGGTAAGCATTGGACTGCCAACCACAAGGTCGGTGTTTCAAAACCACTAGCCTTTCCTCGGAAACCCAATAGAGGGTGGCTATGAGTCAGAGGTGGCTCCTCAGCATTTAACAACATCATTGTAGGGCTGTTTCAATAGCAAATAGACTTGGAAACTAGAGGCAGGTTTTCTCTAGACCAGGATAACAGAGGAAGACAATGTCTCACTCCAGGGGGAAGGAGTGGGTGGGACTGCTGAGAGCCGCAGGGTTTTCATTGGCTGATTCTTAGACGTGGATCGCCAGACCTTTCTTAGTGATCACATGGATGTACTGACCTAAACAAAACAGTGTTGGTTTAGTCATTGTTGTTAAGTGCTGTCAAGTCGGTTCCGACCCATAGCGATGCTGTATAGGGTTTCCAAGGACTGGTGAGCTTGAACCACTGACCTTATAGTTCAAGTGACTTTGCAGTCCGGTGCATCAGCCCACAGCGCTATACCAGGACACCAGATTTAGTCATTATTCTCAAGAATGAGGACCCTGCAAATGAAGTTGGTTTAAAAATTAGCCCAGATGACCTCATGGTCATAGAAGGAGAACAGGATGCACTTAAGCCCACCCAGAGAGTTATCTCAGAACTAAGCTGAGACCCTAAAGGTGGAATGTTTCAGGGGGTTTTTGCTTTATTGCTTCTTTTTCCCTAAAGGTTGGATGTTTGAGGAAGTTTAATGTTTTATTATTTCTTTTTCCAAAGAATGCTATCCTGATGTTAAAATAAGTTACATCCAAATGCAACTTACTTTATATAATGTGCCTGTCCTTGGTGAAGGACAGGACAGTTTTGAGAGATTATTCTCCTGTCCTCCAGACTGCTGACTTTCTGTTAATAAAGCGTGGACTGGATCACTTCCCATCTCTGTAACTGACTACATACAGTGACAGGTGGCAAATCCTCAGTTTGGTTTGGCGACACTTTTCCCTCTTAGCCTGCTCAGTATCATGTTGTTGTTGTGAAGTGCCCTTGAGTCGGTTACAACTCATAGCAAACCTGTACAGGGTTTCCAAGGAGCAGCTGGTGAGTTTGAAGTCGACCTTGCAGGTCAAACAGACCTTGCGGTCCAGTGCATTATCCCACAAGATCGCACAAGTACACGGGGCCATTGGCTGGGAATCAAACCTAGGAGAATGCTACCACTGAACCATCCTTTTAAAATGTTGTGGTCTCCTACACTTGGGGTTCCTCAGCCTCCCCAGGTCCTGCCTCTGCATCACCCCAGGGGACTTGACAGGTATAATAAAAAGTCATACAGTGGGTGACTTTGAAGAGCAACAATTCGTTTTCTCATGGTTCTGGAGACTGAATCTAAATTCAGGGCTCGGTCCAGAGAAGAGCCTTCAGTCTCTGCACCCTGGGCATTGCTTGGTGTTTCGTGGCTGGTAGATGCATCCTTTTCCCATGACAGATCTGTTCCTCTTTTATAAAACCCCATGCACAACGGGTCAGGGTTGGAGCCCACACTGCTCAGGCCTCCTTAGCATAAGAGAAGAAAACCCCCTTTCACACAGGATCACATTTACAGATTTTGGCATCGCTTTTGGGGGAGGATAGAATTCAATCGGTAAGAGTTGAAAAAGGGGATCACACTGAAGCTCTTGCTTTGCATCCTGTTGTAACAAAGTCCTTTGGCAAGCTGGGTCAATTTCGGCCTCTTCAGTTATCAAGGGCAAAGGGAGAACGTGAACACGTGGATTCAGAGTGTGCTGCCTGTGGGGAATGGGTTGTCTCAAGACCCCTGGAGAATAAAATCTGCAGCAAGGAGTGGTGGTAGGTGAAGCTGAAGATGCAGGTCCAGCTGGGCCATGAATGGTCCTGGTTGGCAGCACAAAACAAAAAGAGTTTCTAACAAGCCGCTGCCAACAACTCATGACAGCCTCACAGGTGTCGAGAGGAACAGTGTTCCACACGGTTAACAATGGCTATGGTCTCTGTTTCCAAACGTAGATTTATCTCAAGGACTATCTTTAAGACACCTTTGTTGTTGTTATTAAGTGCCGTCGAGTTGGTTCCAACTCATAGCAACCCTGTATAAGGTTTCTGAGGCTGTAAAGCCTCATCTTTCTCCCACGAAACAGCTAGTACTTTCGAACTGCTGACCTTGAAGTTAGCAGCCCACTTGGAACCACTATGCTACCAAAATTCCTTAATCCTTCCATGCTGAGATCTAATAGAATGTGATCCCTTCCCCCATGATGTGGTATGTGCTCAGCCCTGCTCTGATGTGATTCTCTCAATGTATCGTAAACCCACATTTCTGTGATGGCCATGAGGCATGATACCAGCAAACAGAGCTCAGAGGGACCTACACCACTATGAGAGATCAGCCAGGAGGGAAGTGCAGCCTTGAACCTGGATTCCCTGCGCTGTGAAGTTCCTAGATTCAGAGGACGATTTATGCTGAGACACATGGAGCTGTCCAAGGAATGCTGGGCTTACAGCTACTGAGAGGAGACTGGGACCTTTCTCCAGAGTTAGTGCTCTGAACTCAGACTTTGAGCCTCCTAAACTCTGAGAAAAGGAGCTCTGGTAGTGAGTGTAATGGTTATGAATTGGGCTGCTAACCTTAGGGTCAGCAGTTCGAAACTACCAGCTGTTCCATGGGAGGCTTTCTGCTTCCATAAGATTTACAGCCGTGGAAACCCTGTACAGGGTTGCTATGAGTCGGAACCGACTCCACGGCACATAACAACAAACTGTGAGAAAATACATTTGTTTGGTAAAGGCATCCCCTGGTGGTATCTGTTTTAGCAGAACTAGAGGACTAAGACGGAGCTGACTTGGAGGGGTCCACTGGCCAAAAACGGCCATTTTGCGCTTCAATATGAAAGAGAATTATGATAGGTTGAAACTCATGACAAGTTTAAACCCCATAGTTAACTGGTCATCTTCTGAGGGTGAAAGGGAACCAATTCAAAAAGGAGGTCAACGATGAGGTCAAAATTAAGCATGGTCCAGCTTTTCCTAAGTGAACTGTACCAACAGGCAACCAAATACAGGTAAGAGGAACTCTCTCAGTATAGTCAGTCCATTTAAAACAAAATGGCAGAATTGGATTTTCACCATCTTACAGCCGTCCAGTGAATGAACGAATCTAGGCATTGAACATCATTGACTGCTGACATGAAAAAGCACAACCAATCAGTGTGCTCCAGATGAAAGAGCGCCAAGACCAACACCAAACCAACTTCATGCAGCTAGAATTGCCCCATAGGGTTTCCATATCTTTATGGAAGCAGACAACTTTCTCCTGTGGAATGGCTGATGCTTTCAAACTGTTGACCTTTCAGCTAGCAGCCTATCACTTTAACAGGGGGCTACCAGGGCCCCTGAATTGAAGAGCACAGTGCCACCTATAATCCTGCCAAAGGGATCAGACCAAAGACCCAGCTGCTAAAAGTTTTGGGGATCTAAAGAACATGTGAGCAGCCCCACCAGTGTGCAGCCCGTAAAACCAATGAAAACTTAACAGGAAACAGCTGGTCATTCGGTGGAGACTCAAGACATTCTCTTTTTTACAAAAGTTGTTGAGGCGGGGCTTGATGGCGGCTAGGGTGGAGGTCTAGTGAAGTTCGCCGCCAGCCATATCACAGAATACCAGGCAAAGCAGATCCAGGGCAGAGCTCCCAAACTCGGAACCACAGAGATAAGAATATTTTAAAAGTTTGAAGGCTTATAGCTAGTGGAACTTGAAGCTGAAGTAAAAAATCACGTACTTTAGAATCTGCCGGGCTGGGCTCGGAGGCCTGGAGCCGACATCTTGGGTGAGACCAAACGGGGGAACAGAAACACCATGGAAAAACACCGCGGGAACCTTGGAGCAAAGGTGGACAATACGTTTTATCAGTTTTGCTTTGTTCTGATTTTTTTTTTTTGATATATGGTTATATTTGATAATGGTGGTGGTGGTGGTTATGTGTCAGGGTAATGTGCCATGGAATCGGAACCGACTCATAGCGACCCTGTACAGGGTTTGTGAGGCTGTAAATCCTTACGGGGCCAGAAAGCCTCATCTTTCTCCCGCAGAACAGCTGGTGGTTTCAAACTGCTGACCTTAAAGTTCGCAGCCCAATTCGTAACTACTACGCTACCAGAGCTCCTTGTATTTGATAATGGAAAGGTAAAAAATAAAGTTGTTGTTAGGTGCCATGAGGTTAGTTCCGACTATTAGCACCCCTGTGCACAAAAAGCAGGAAACACTGCCCGGACCTGGACCAACACCACAATCGTTACATTTCAGCCCATTGCTGCAGCCACTTAGCAATCCATCTCCTTGGGGGCCTTCCTCTTTTTCACCGACTTTCCACTTTAACAAGCACAATGTCCTTCTCCAGGTATGTCTGATAGTATGTATGAAGTATGTCTCGCCATCCTTGCCTCCCCTCCATCAGCTGTGGCAGAGCCCATTCCAACCTGTGTGACGGGTCAGCAGAAAATTGAGCACCATGGTCTTTTTCCCATGGAAATCTGTGATCTTGAAGCTGGATCAGCAGGTCCTTCTTCCAAAGAGTCCCTGGGAGGGCTCAGCCCTGCCACCCTTTTGACTAGTAGTTGAATGCTTAATGTTGACACCCCCAGGAAACCTCACTGATGGTTGGGAATGACTGATCCATTTCCTGTCTGTATAAATGTGCCTGTTCTGGATGGTTCCTAGAAACATCCAGCCTACCATCGTCTGTGGCTGGCTTCTTTCACTCGGCATGATCTTTTCCTGGTTCGTGCATGTTGCAGCCTATATCGGTACTTCATTCTTTTTATTGCCTAACATTCCATGGCAGGGGTGCAGTGTGAGTAACCCTTACCTGTCTCTATCTAACAGGCCCACACCTCCCTGGGCTGAGGGAAATGGGCCAGACATTCCTCTGCCTTCAGGGAGCTCTCGGGACCCATCTCCCTGTCTGCATGTGTTGTAAGGGAGCCTCCAGTACATGCTGCATCAAATGCGACAGATGCAGGAAGGGGGACTTGTGACTGGTGGGAAGAGCGGGAAATCGGAGGAAGGTTCAGAATAAGTAGAGAGATGTATAGGGTCTAGAGAGATGAAGGGAAAGGCATTCCAGGGCAAGCCAAGATTGGAAGCTGCAAAGTCCAAGCAGTGTTGCTGTTCCATTCCATGGAGTCGGTTCTGACTCACAGCGACCCCATGTAGGGTTTTTGAGGCTTGGCTGGTGGGTTTGAAGCTAGCAATCCAGTGCTTTTCCTACAGTATGAAACAGCATCGAGGTTAGTCAGAGGGGAGCGAGGGGTGATGCGGCCTGAAAAGACACAAGGAGAGGTCAGGAGCACACGCCACAAAGCCAGGTGCTAGCAGTTAACACTTGGTTTCGGCAATCAATCTTTATTTTTAAGACTTGTCCATTACTGCAGAATAAAATACAAAAGCAACCAAAATCATGAGATTTTCTAATAGGTTTTCACTGGGGACGGAGGACCCTCCTCTTCAGTAGAATCATTCTGTAGGCTTAGGTTTCAGCTGTGACTCGCCTCAAATTCCTCGAAGCAAAGACTCTCTCACTGGCTACAGGAGCCCAAGTGAACGTCTTCCTCCTTCAAACGAGTGAGCGAAAGAACCTCATAAAAAGCGAAAACGTTTCTCAACACACAGCCTGATCCATGCAAATGTGTTGTTTCTCAGAGCATCACACACGGCCTGCAGTAGGTTGGGCATTTACTTGAAGGTGTGGGAGCCACCTGGTCAGAGAAAGGCCCAACTGCATTCCCCAAGAGGATTGGGGCAGGTCCACTCGTCTGTCTCAGCATTTCCGCGGCAGTGCTCACACTTGGAGGCGACAGAAAGGTAGTTTTTCAGTAGTAACCGAGGCACACCTTGTCCATAGCCAGCTTTATTCTGAAAGAGACAGGAGGACTCACTCTGTGAAGTGTGTCAGCTCTGCAGGAATGACAGACACAACCCAACACAGAACAGGAAGTAATCTGTGAAAGAGCCACCCAACAATTAGCACTGGAAACGCAGCCAGTCAGAATTCCACTGGCAGAAGGATCTAGAACACAGCTGGAGGCAGGAGCTGGCAGAGACAACCTTGCCTGTGTGCTGAACAGTCAGAACTGACCCCTCCAAATGCCCTTCAAACGCTGACTCACCTGTCCACTGGGTAGGGCTTCTCACAGAGGTTGACCAGCACATACAAATGTCTCAACGCATACTCGTACTAGAAGAAAATGTCCAAGAGAAGATGGGATAAGCTGTCATCATTTCACTGAACAACCAGCTCTCCATTCTTCCTATGTGAACATGCCATGTCTGTAGCCCCGACTAGCAACAGGGCTCTGGCACGCCTACTCCGTCAGTTCTGACACAAGTTAAATGCTTCATTTTTTTAAAAAAAAAGCATTATTATTTTAAAAGGCATTATTATTGCCTCTTACTGTCAGTTAAAGGGGCTCTGGTAGCATAGTGGTTACGAGTCGGGCTGCTAACTTTCAAGGTCAGCAGTTTGAAACTACAAGTGGAATGTGGGAGAAAGCTGAGGTCTCGGAAACCCTATACAGGGTCGCTGTGAGTCAGAACCCACTCCACGGCACACTACCACCACCACCGTTATCAGGAGCCCTGGTGGCATGGTGGGTTAAAACACTGGGATGCTAACTGCAAAGTTGGTGGTTCAAACTCACAAGATGAGGCTGCCTACTCCTATAAAGATTTACAGGCTCGGAAATCCTAAGAACCAATTCTGCTCTGTGCTGTAAGGTCACCACGAGTTGAAATGGACTTGACAGTAGTGGGTTTGACCGTGATTGGTATCTTTATAAATCTGATCTTGGTCTTTGGGGTTGAGAGTGATAACATCAGCAAATAATATACTGCAAAACTATGTATAAACACAAGAGACAAAGTAATAAAAAAACCACCTGACCTGTCATTAAATTCACTTCCTCTTAACCCAAATATGTTGTAATTTGCCAGATTTGGCCTGTGGGCTGCACAAGGTGATACTCACCAGAAAGCTTGTCAGTTGCCCGCCAGCCCTGACCTTCTGCCATTTGCAGGAACCTGTGCTCTTGTCCCCTCCATGGGGGTCAGGGAGGGAGGGTGAGAGCAGACCCAGTGGGGAGGGGGCATGGGGGCTGCTGAGGAGCAAGTGCTGAGAGGCAGGGACAGCAGGAGTGTGGAGGCTGAAGTGGGCAGGACCCTGACATGCTGGGACCATACAGTGTCTGGAGACCAGGCCTTGTGTCTAGTGACTCGGACAGCCTTCCTCCTCACTCCCATCCAAGGCCTTGGGGACACACCCTTTGCTTCCTCATCTGAGTGGAGCTTCAGCCTTCTACAAAGTGACTGTTAACAGGTCAAATTGTGTCCCCTCAAAATATTTGTTTGAACCTGAATCCCTTCACGTATGTGTGGAGGCCATCTCACCAGGGAATGATGAAGGATGGCCTTTGGGTTAATGAGGCCTGGTCAGGGCCGGGTGTGTCTTCAGCCAATTACTGCTGAGATAAACAGAGAGCAGATGTGGTATAGACTGGGGAAGACAGCTCCTCCCACGTCACATGAATACTGAAAGGAACCAAGGAACAGCAGCTGAGAGAGTCCAGACCTTCCCCCAGAGCCCACAGAGAGGAACAGCCCTCCCCTAGAGCCAGCAGCCTGAACTGTGAGAAAATGAATCTGTTTGTCAAAACACCCCCTTGTGGTATTTCTGCTCTAGCGGGAAACCAAGACAGGATAGCACTAGATGCGCTTCCCAGTGGATAACACGAGTTTGGCTTTCAGATTCAAGACGCTGGGAAAGCCCTACATCGGGGTGCAGGCGAGGTGTGGGGCAGGTCTGGGCTTACCTTGGAGGAATGCCAGTTGAAGCAGTGTGTGCGGAAGTACGTGGCAGCGTCCTGGTAGCAGGAGTACTCTGTGAGCTCCGCTCTCTTGGTGAGGCACTCCTCCAGCTCCGCTTCAGATGTCACCAGCATGGAGATAATCCTTTGCACAGACTTCTCTATGAGGTGCCGGGCCTGTGGAGACACGCAGTGTGGCAAGGCAGCTCTCGTGGAGGCAGCGCCCCTGGTACGGGGCAGAAGCGCATTTACAGGCTCCACTTCACGCAGCACCTGACACGTAATCCGACGCCAAGATGGAGCTGTGCTTTATGGGGATTGAAAATTTGGCCAAGGACAATGGTGACAGTTCTACACCATGACCGAGGTCACTGATCTCACTGAATTGTTTACCTGAAAAATTGTTTGTGGTGCTATCTATGAATTCTACAATTAAAAAGAAAAGAAAAGAAAAATCTAAAAACAAGACACACAAAAAACTCACCTATAAACATCCCAGCCATTAAAAAGTAAATGCAGTCTAAGGAGGGCAAGAGAGGCGTATGCAAAGCTTCCAAACAGCTAGAAATCTTTAGGAGGACCCTGTCTCTTTGGAATCTTTTAGTATGGTGGAAATATTTGTCTAAACTCTCCAAGAACAGGCCCGTCCAACCTGAAGGACAGGGGGTGCGGGCCTGTGACGTGAAGCAGGCTGAGGTCTGGTGAACGGAGTTGATCATCCAACAGTGAGAAAAGGGCCAACAAAGCCATTGTTTCCTCCCAGGCGCTGAAAACCAGTATCAGAAGGAGCAAACGTCTTCCCTATTAAAGCAGATTTTACCAGCAAGTCTCTGTGTGTCTGAATTCAACAAAGGCTCCAGGCCCACTGAGTGTTAGACCACCCATCCTCAAAGCGTGGCCCATGATGTGTCCTCCTTCCTAACTAGACACCTGAGTAAGACCAAACTTCTTCAGACCCTTCACCCCAAACATCATTCTTCTATGAAAAAATTAATTTGTTCAAGTGAAAAGAATAAAAAATCACTACTACCACAGAGAATTCTGGAGCACATGTGACAATCCGCATTCTTCCATGAAGCTGGGCACAGGAAAAATTAGCAAAAATGTAAAGCTGACATGTTTATTACCAAAGTTGCCTTTGTGCTGGAAAATCGTTCTTTTTTTTTTTTTTTCATTTGAAAAAAAAATTACTACAAATAGATTATTGTTTGAGTGAATAATTATTTTGAAATATGAGTTTGTTTCTAATGTAGTATGCATCAGTAGACAGAGCTTGGGATCAGTCATGTATGCAGCTAGATGCCCGAGCACCTCCGTATGACATATGCTGGTTCCACACATGCCCACTCATTTTCAGGAAAATTGGTTATATGCATTTAAAACAGGATGTTAGAAAAAGGACCAGGCTTGCTGGTGAGACAGAGAGACAGGAGGAACCTGAGACTGTGGCCCTTGGGCACCTTCAGGTCTGGAATGGGACTCGTGGGACTTACAGCCAAGCAGTAAGAAGTATAGACGGGGACATCAACACTGCTGAGTTATGCTCACTACGAATGACATCATTCGACATCAAAAGGGCAATATGTCCCTAAATACAAAGTTGAGGCTCGTTGGGAAGGGGGGTAGAGTGGAAAGAGGAGCCCCAGGGAGGAAGCAGGCTCATTGTTGTTGCAGGGAGAGACATGAAACCAAGTGCATAATCTGCTGAATGCGAAACTGAAGATCGACTGTCAACCTTCACTCAATTCACAGTAAAAAGTTAAAAAAACACAGACACAAGAAAAGCACATGTAAGACAAGTAAACCAGTGAAAGTGGGAACCTGTGTAACATAGAAACCCATTAAGATAAGAGATTTTCTGTCAGAAGCAGAAAACACAAAGGTTTCTCACTAACAGAGAGCAACAGAAATGTGTCCCATTAGAGGTGAAAACTCATGAGACCCAGAGGCACAAGCAGACCCGCGCCCCCTCCCAAGTTCCGGCTCTCACACATTCCACCATCTTCTCTTCTCTCTCTCCTAGAAAACTCTTAACTGCAGGGCTACAGAACATTCTCCACTGCGCTGAGGAGACAAGAGCTCTGGGCAGCACCCAGGAAATGCTCTCTTTGTGGCCCCAACATCACAGCTAGGAGGTAAAAAGCAACTGCCTGCTCCACAAAGACCTACAGCTCCTAGAGACAGACCCACCCCTTGGAGCAGACCCCTCGTACGCATGTTAGAAGTGTTTTGGCCTCTAGGGTTCAGAGGGGTTTTGTGGCCTGGATTATTTTTATGTAATTCGCTAACGCGCAAACAGATAAACATGGCTTCTGAGCAGCAGGTGTTAAGGGGGACCAGCCACACGCCACGTTCTCAGGCAGGACATAGGAGAGTTGGCCTCCTGTGAACAAAGGGTGATGGTCAGGGTGCCTGCTCTGCTCACGTTTCTGTCTCACACACATACAAAGGCTGGCATCCTTTCCCAGGTACTCCCGAGAGGCGGAAGGAAGGTGACCCTGGCGTCCCAGCACCTGGTTCTGTATAGTGCTGGGTGGCTGTCCAGGGACAGAGACCGTGGGTCACACATGCTGCACACCCAGAGCAGGTAAAGGGAACCTGGGAAGGCTCCCTTTACCTCGACTCACCTCCAGATGCCTGTCTATCTTCTGGAGAAGGTCCCGGGTCTCCTGCAGGTCATTGGTAGCCATGAGTTTCCTTTTCATGATGGCCAGGGGCACCTCGGGGCTAGGGGTGAGGTCCAGGTGCTTGACAGGAGGCAGGGAGATGGGCGAGCTGGCTTTGTGTTTGATGCCCTGAAACTGCATCAGCTTCATGGTGGAGATGGACTGTGGGGAGACACAGACGCAGGTCCAGTCTTTCCCTATGAGGCTCACAGTTCACTGCAGATGGCTCGCGGACACTGAAGGGCTATGACCACAGCCTGATGTGCAGCTGACCTTCAGCAGAAGGCCCAGCAACACCTGCCTGAGCTCTCCCACAGCAGGGACCATTGCCCACGTATGCAATGGAAATGTGGGTCTCCCATCGAGCAAGCCAGGGCCAGAGGGGCATCTGCCAGGGGCCACCCTGGACTGTGCTAACCACGCTCAGCTGCGTCTTCCTCTGCTTCTGCCTCTATCCCATGGCCACCCAGAAGCCTGGCCAGGTCTCCAGGGCATCCTGAGATCAGGTGATGGCCAGAGATGGCAGGCTCACAGGTATTTCTTCTAGAGGGCCAAGGCAGGTACCCACGAGCAGGTGTCAGCGGCCACACTTGCCCGGCGCAAGTCACCTTCCTTGAACAAACCACCCTAGCCCCAGCTCTGTCACTGACAGCCCAAGCCTTCTGCAGCCACCAGCTTTGACTTCGGCTGGGCCTGACGGATTTGCCTATTTAACCACCTGGGACCTTTCTGGACACAGCCTCTAATTCCGACAGGGCTCAGGTGACAGACTAATAATTTGCAGTGAAGCAGGACTCTAGAGAAGCCACAGAGTGGGGGTTCAGAGAGGGCAGGTATCACCTGAGTAAGCTCTGTGTGTCAGGCCTGTCCTGTGGTCAGTGTCTTAATGGACGATCTTGTGCCCCCTAATGTTCTAGGGACCTGGCATGCTAGGGTTTTGCCTATAAAGCTTGACTAAAATCTTGCCACTTTGTCGATCCAAAACTGGGCAGAGTTCATGGTAGAGAGGCATCTCTCATCAGATTTACCGTCTTCCCCAAGAGCGTCTCAGCCAGTCTGCCTGGGACTTAGCGGGCAGACCGCAGGCGTGCAGGGCCTACACTCACTTTGTTTCCGTACTGCATGACGTGGCTGGTGTTGGTGTGGGATTTGACCAGCTGGTATTGCTTGTGCAGGGTCTCCTTCGTCAAGTCCTCCTGTGATAATGTAAGCGTGGGAAGTCCTTCAACACTCAGGGCCTGATGGCTAGGCCTCGCCCGCCCACCCTGAGTCTCCCGGGGCTCACCACGTCTGAGTCTTCCATCCAGTTGACGCTGTACCAGTCGCCCAGGTAGGTGGCTCTCTGTTCGTCATAGTAGCAGGCATAGGACGACTCGCTGGGGTTGGCAGCAGTAGTTGCATAAACTAGGAGAAACGGGAAACATCTTTTTGTCCTATTTTGCTCCTGGTTGTGGAACACAAGTGTAAGCCCCTCCTCCTGGAATCAAATCCAGCCATTTACAACCAGCACAAGCAAAGGAAGGAAGATGAGGCTGTGAGCGTCAGCCCTGCTCATGGGAGGAGGTCCCTGCATGGTGCTAACAGTTAATGCACTCAGCTGCTAACCATGGGTACCTCAGAAGAAAGGCCTGGGTACTTAGGCATTTCTGAAACAGAAGCCATTGAGAACTTTATGAAGCACAGTTATACTCCAACACAGATGGCGGCCGCCGTGGGCTGGGGGCTGACCAAACAGCCACTGGTTGAGTTGGTTAAAGTTCATGTGAAAGAGAAGAAGCCAGGTGTGAAGACTCCTTTTTGGTAGCAGGAAGCAAAGCACTGGTAACATGATCAAAGGGACACCATCCGCCCAGGGCTAATGCTCGGAGGGCAGGACGAGACAGGAAAGAAAGGACACAGGAAATGCAGGGAGGAAGTGGGAAGAAAACTGACACTCTGTGGGAACTGCAGTCAATGCGACGAAACAGTGTGTGTGGACTGTTGAATGGAAAGCCAATTTACTTGGTGAACTTCTACTCAAATCACAAAAAGCTGCACACACGCATACTCAACAGCAAGATACTTTAGAAGAAGGCTTAGAGATTATATATATCACAGCTCCCGAATGTGAAGAAGATGGACCTAATTTCATTTCCAGAGAAAGTTAACATTCATTGAAAACATAGTCAGACTGGCTAAGCCAGTGTAACCATTTACTACCTGCCTGCCACAGGCTCAGAACTGTGCTGGACAAACGTTCTAGAACTCTCCCAATGGACAGGTACTATCTTTATCCCCATTTAAGTAACACGCCCAAGATCAGAGAGCCAGCAAGCAACTTGAGGCAGAGGACTGAGGCTGGTGCAAAGCTGTGAATCCCCTTGAACCCACGTCCGGACTGTGGCCTGAAGTAGCGCTACAGAACTGGGAGGAGAAAGTGAAGCTCACAGGCAGTCTCCGGTTTCTTGACCACAAACCCTCAAGTCAAGGAGCCCTGGTGGCGCAGTGGTTAAGTGCCTGGCTGCCTTCCAGAATGGAGGCGATTTGAACCCACGAACCACTCTGCAGGAGAATTACCTGGTGACCTGCTCCTGTCTGGATTTACAGTCTGGAAAACCCTATAGGCTAGTTCCATTCTGCCGTATTGGGTGGTGATAAGTCAGGATCCTCCAAGAGCGGAGGACAGGTCCCTGAAGACACAGAGCACCGGGAAGCACGATGGCCATGTGTGAGCTCCCTGCTCCCCCCCACCTACCATTGATGTCATCGGGCAGATGCTTCATCATGGAACCAGATTCGCAGGCTTCAATGTAGAACACCATCTGGGAGGCAGAAGGACACGATGAGCCCACAACCCCCAGGCACCACTCTGCCCATCCCCCGGCCTCCTTTCAGAGACGTTCTCTTGTGCTTTCGGAAGATGTCTCTGCTGCCAGAGGCCGCAAAGTGCTGTCACACAGGGGACACGATATAGTCATCGCTAAGAGAGGAAAATGGTCTAGCTCTTGGAAGACGAAGGCAAAGGACATGAGCCAAAGAGGGGGCTGCGGCAAGCCGTCGCCTGTCCACACCAGGGTGCGGTTTCAGAGTACACCAGCTGGGGGCTTCCTTTTCTCCTTGTTCTCAGAGGCTCACGCATGAGCACTCCAGAGCCTTCTGCTGACTGCTGCAGGCCAGAGAGGCCAAGGAGAAGGCAGCGTGACCTTGGCCTCCCCAACTGTCCAAAATGCCTGCTGCTGAGGGCCCAGACCAACAGAGTCAGCCTCACCTGGACACCTCTCAGAAGGACAAATGCTCAGGTTCTGCCCAGACCTACTGAGTCCAGCCCTCTGGTACTGAGGGTGCCCTGGAATGATAGCAGCTTAGACCTGAGGAACCAGAGGTCAAGACTACTCGAAACGAGGGCCTTTCCAGAGAACACAACTTTACACCATTAGATGGCCGGTCAGAGCTGTTGGCTGTGCTTCCACTGACTGCCCCAACCTCCTCCTCCAGGGCCCACCATCACCTTTTGGTACATCTTGTGCTTGTACATGTAATGGATGGTCTTGTTCAAGTCCTTCACGTGAAGCTGAAAAGGTAAGAATGCTGACAGTCACATCTCACATCACACCTGCAGGAGAAATCACTGAGAAGTGCTGGTGATTCCTTCTACCTCCCCGCCCACAGAGACAAACAGGGCGTGTAGCACGGTCCCAGAACGGCGACCGTATTTAAAGGAAGAGCGAACGTGCGTGGCCACTCATTACTGTCTCAGGTGACAGGAGGGTTTGTTCTGCTGTGTCTAGAGCAGCACACCTGAGACACGTAAGTCCTGAGGCGATACCAATGTGTGATGCGGGAGGAAACACCTTGACTAGTTCATTAGTGCATACTGCGCTTTTTAAGTGCAGCATCTCAAACCTGCTTCCTTTCTGTAGGGCAGAGGGGAGCTGGCCCAGAGGTCTCTGAGGCTGTGGTCTTTCTCCCATGGAGCAGCCTCTGGATTTGAACAATGAGTTGTGTGAGTGGGGAGGGGAACAAGTCAGAAATGGAGGGTGAGAATGGCTGCTCGATTCAAAATCTGTCATTGATGCCGCCGAATACCACATGCAGAAACTGCTGAATTGGCATATGGCTGCACAGTTTCAACAACAACAAAGACGAAGACAGGCAGGGGGAATGTTCTGATTGGCTTTTGGAAAGACTTCACGCTTGGTCCCCCAGCCCCATCCTGCACACACATAAACCAACCCTGGACGGTCATAAAGAAAGCGCACATTACTGCTGAAGTCTCAATACATAAGCTTTTGTTTTCATTCTCCGTTAAAACGTTGGAAACGTGAACAAAGACTCACATCATCGTTAGGAAAAGCCAGCAACCCCGGAGCTCCGTGATCGGTGAAGTACACGAAGACGTGATCCCGGGGGCCACTGCCAAGACAAAATAAGCCCCTGCTTAGCAGCTGACAGAAACAGAGCCACCTCCGAGAGGGGAGCAGAGTTCTGCGGGGAGCTCACTGCTTTGGTTCCCTGCAAGACTGCCCACATCAAGAACAGAGAGGTCAGTCACCCAGCCAGGTAAGAAACGCCCAGGGGTCCTGCAGACAGGTCTCTCGGGCCCCTCGGATCCCACAGGCATATTCTGGAGCCAGGAAATTCTAGAATAACAGCAGGTGAGGAGGAGAGACCTTTCTAGGAAGGTGTATCACATACGCTGTGGCAACGGGGACTCACACCAGGCAGACACGTTCCATCCAGAGCTCCCCTAAATCAGTAAGGGGAGCTGGAACATGTAGCCAGACACAGCCTGGCCAGGTAGGGCTCCACCTGAAGGACTGCCTCAGGGTTACAGAGATGAAGAGCTGAAATGTCTCCTCTCTGCTCTGTGTCACCTAAGCTTTGCTGGACTGAGTCTCACCTCTGGCATCGAAGTAAAAACCAGCCTAGGAAATGGCTTTGTGATGATTTCAAGTCTTAATGGGAAAAAACTGAAAGAAGCCAAGAAAGCTTCATAAAAGGAAAGGGGGGAAAAAAAAGAAATCCCACCACTGGCCAGGTATCTGCGACTCTGGAGGTACGCTGTTGTGACGGAAGAGCACGACAGGAAGGAGAGGTGGGACAAGCCGTGGAGCTAGCTTTCCCCAGCCCAAACGTGTCTGTTCTGTTCTCCCTGTGCAGCTGGCCTGCCACCAAAGCACAGAGCGGGCAGCACGGTGCCCTGTAACCTGGCTGGCCCACAGGGGAGCCACACCTGCTCAGTGAGCAACATGGGAGGGAATGCAGAGAACAAGGATGCCCAGATCAGGAGGGGCAGCAGTTTAAACACCACACACGGTTTTGGTAAGAACGAACCAGGTGACAGGGGATCTCAGGGAGAAGCGGGCTGCCAGGCAGAGCCCCGTGCAGTCTGCCTTTAGTCACGGTGAGCTCTCCACCCTGGAACTTCTCACAGGTACAGAGGCCCCCAGTCCTTGAGCAAGGTGGGCATCCACACACAGGCCTTACCTCTTCAAGACTTTCCCGGAGCCTTTGCCCTTCACTGCCTCTGCATCACCTTTCAACACAGCAAGGAAATTTCCTGGGGTGACATCCTACAAAGAATGGGGAGGTAAAGCCAGATGCAGCTGATATTGTCAAGCAGTGGGTTGGGGGGTGAGGAGTAGACCCAGGCCCCCAACCCATACATCTGCAAGGCTCGTGGTGTAAGAGCCAACGCTTCACAAACAAGACAGACAAGTGAGCAAGGCCTGTATTCTGAGGCATGCACACAAGCTCTTCCCAAAGAGCCTCTTGTTTTTGGCTGATGGAGACTCAGGAAGCCTCCTGCCCTTGCTTTGGGGCCATTGTGAGTCCGTGTGGAGAGACCTATACATGCGGGTAGGAGGAACAACTGCCAGAGGGAGAGGAAAACCCCCAGAGAGAGTGAAGGAGGAGGGAGAAACATCAGCACAGAGTCCTCCCCTGTCAGCTGCTTGCAGCCTTGGAGGCTGAGTCCCAGAGACACTGACATCCTGAGAGGGACATTGTATAAATGATTAAAACACATAGCTGCCATCAAATTGATTTTCACTCATTGGCAACCATGTGTGCACAGCAGAAATGCACTCCATAGAGTTTAAATTTTAAGGGCTGCTTTTTAGAAAACAGATCGCCAGACCTTTCTTCTGAGGTGCCGTTGGGTGGTTTCAAACCTCCAACCTTTTGGTTAGTAGTTGAGTGTGCTGACTGTTTGCACCACCAGGGCTCCTGTATAAACAACCGCTGCTCATTTAAAAACAACCAACACAGAGAAGTACAAAGGGAAAAAAATAAATAAAAGAATCACCCAAAACTCACCATCTAGATCCAAACATTTCCTTATATAAATACACGGGAAGAAATCATTTTTAAAAATGAGACCGTCCATGTTATACCTATAATGTACCAAATGTAATTGGCATGAGAACTATTGGTTTTTAAAAACCCTCTGAGCTTAAGAAAAAAAGATTATGAAAACCATGATGCTGAAGTCATTAAGGTGTTTTTTTTTTTAAATGGGTCAATTTTAAATGGTCTCAAATGCCTGGACAGGAAGTGGGATAATACGCACCCACTAGTGATTAACAGGAGTCCTGTTAATGTGCCAGACTGCAAAGCCATTTGAACTACAAGGTCGGTGATTCAAGCTCACCAGTTGCTCCTTGGAAACCCTATACAGGGTTGCTATGGGTTGGAACTGACTCGATGGTGCTTAACAACAGTAAGAGTAATTAACAGGAGACTATTTGAGCAAGTGGTTATGAATCAGGCTGCTAATCTCATAGTCAGCAGTTCGAAACTACCAGCTGTTCCGCGGAAGAAGGATGAGGCTTTCTGCTCCCATAAAGATTTACAGCCTTGGAAACCCTGTACAGGGTCATTATAAGTCAGAACCGACTCCACGCATATAATAACAACAACAACATCTGAGCAAACTCCTGAGATTTTTCCATAGGCCAAGTGCTGAGACAATTGACTTTCATAAAAAACACACACAGTTCATCTTTAATCAGGTTAGCAACAATCCCCAAAGAAAATTGGGTATTATCAAAGGAAATCTATCATCAGGATTAAAGTATAAGACGAGAGGCTATCAGCAGACAAAAAACAAATTTCCTCAGCAGACAAAAAACAAATTTACTTAGCTCTGCTTTCTTTCAAAACACTCAGAGATGATGTCACGTGCAAATCCTGGTATGAACATGAAATTAGACATAGGAACAGAGAATAGCAATCGGTCGAGTGAGGTTCTGATTCTAGAAGTATCAGGAAGAAAGAAAGGGGAGTCACTGCCCCTGAGTAAGACCAGACCAGTAACTCACCTCACCGGTGTAATCCTTGAGGACACCGCTGTACACGTCTGTGCCGTTGGGTCTGTTAATCACGATGCCTGGAGTGGGGTTGCTGAAAGGGAAGTAACAGGTCTCTGGGATCTCTTCAAAAAATCAGCAAGCAAGCAGGCCTGAACAGTCACATCAGCATGCTTGGGATTCTAGCAGCGGGGGAGCTCAATCCAAGAGTTCTAGATAAGAGCAGCCAAGGACTGAGCCCCAGAAACCTAGGACAGGTGCCACAGGACAGGGCCCCTCCGGCCTTCTGGTGAAAATCAAAACCTGTTGCCAATGAGTTGACTCTTAACTCACAGCGACTCCTGTGTGTCTGAGGAGGACTGGACTCAGGGTTCTTGGTGGCTAGTTTTCCGGAGGTAGACCACCGAGTCTTTCTCCCTAGGCACCTCTGGATGGACTTGAACCTCCAACCCTTTAGTTAGTGCATGAACTGTTGTTAATGTGCCTTTTTCCCAATATCCAGGAGCTCTTGATCTCCTGGTAGAAACCAGGTAGTATCTTTGGGCCCAGGTCCCACCAAGTATGATTTCAGAATGAAATTACTTTCAGAAAAAGACAAGGGAGGAAAACAGGCGGTTAGCTGTCCGAGCTTCAGAATGTGTCACGAACTAGAGGCCACAGCAGGGTAACCGAGGGGCCGTGGTCCTCAGAGCAGGCAGTTTAATGCCCATTCTCACTGCTTCTGATCTTTGCAGGAAATGAGATAAGCAAGCATGGCAGGTTTTCAAAACAAAATCCAACAAACAGTAACAGTCAAAAGGTCATAAAAAACTACAACACCTCTACAAGAAAGAGACAAACAACCCAATTAAAAAATGGGCACAGGACGTGAACAGACACTGCACCACGGAAGATATTCAGGCAGCCAACAAACATTATGAAGAAATGGTCATTAGCCATTAGAGAGATGCAACTCAAAACTTCAGTAAGCCATAATCTCTCACCAACAGTAACAACCAAGTCCAATAAAACAGAATACAAGTGTGGCTGAGGGTGTGGAGAGACTGGGACCCTTCCACTCTGCTGGTGGGACTGTAAAATGGTTCAACCACTCTGGAGAACAGCATGGCGCTTCCGTAGAAAGCTGGAGATAGAAATACCGTATGATGCAGCAATTCCTCTACTTGGTATAAGGCGGTGGTGATGGTGTGCCATGGAGTCGGTTCAGACTCATAACAACTCAGCATAGGGTTTCTGAGGCTGCAAATCTTTACAGGAGCAGAAAGCCTCATCTTTCTCCCGTTGAATGGCTGTTAGTTTCAAATTGCTGACCTTTAGGTTAGCAGCCAGACTCATAACCACTATGCTACCAGAGCTCAGGACGAGTAGATATATGCACACCAATGTTCATCACAGCATTATTCATTCACAATAGCAAAACGATGGAGACAGTCTAAGTTCCTCAAATAGAAGACTGGATAAACAAATGTTGGTACATACACACAAAGTAAGAAAAACAATGAATCTGCAAACCACCTTCTAATCTTGGATGAACCTGGAGGACATT